GGCGCCTGGTGCACCTGGACCTGAAGGGCGCCGCGCCCCGCGCGCCGTACCTGGAACAGGTGAGGGAGGGACCCGGGGCAGGGGCCGGATTTACCAGGCACAGGTGATGAATATGCCTGGCGCAGGTAAGGGGTGTACCTGGGGCAGGTGGGGAACATACTTGGCACAGGTGAGGAGGGGAGGGGGACAACAGGACTCATCCCGGCCCGGCCGCTCCCCCCCGTCCCCTCCCTCCCGCAGGTGCTGCCGCTGTTCCGTGCCCTCGGTGCCACCGGGCTGCTGCTGGAATATGAGGACACCTTCCCGTATACGGGGCCGCTGGAGCCGCTGCGGGCACCGCACGCCTACAGGTACAGCCCCGTACCCACAGGTACTGCCACACAGCCGCGGGCACTGCCAGGTACCCACAGGTACCACCTGCCCGGTACCCCCCGGTGCCCTGGGGCACTGACGTGTCTCTCCCCAGCCCCGCGGAGCTCCGGGCTGTGCTGAGCCGGGCGCGGGCGCAGGGCCTGGACGTGGTGCCGCTGGTGCAGAGCTTCGGGCACATGGAGGTGAGCGGGGCAGGGCTGGGATGGGGAGCAGGGGGGTTGTGCTGAGCCGGCACTGCCTGGGGGGAAAGGAGGACAGTGGGATCCTGGGGTGCGTTAGGGAGCATTGCCAGCAGGTCAGGGAGTGATCCTGCCCCCTCTGCTCAGCCCTGGGAGGCACATCGGCAGTGCTGTGTCCAGTGCTGGGATCCTCGGGATAAGAGAGACACGGAGCAGCTGGAGCAGGTCCAGGGGAGGCTGCAGAGATGCTGAAGGGATGGAGCATGTCTGTGACAAGGGAAAGCTGAGGGAGCTGGGGCTGTTCAGCCTCCAGAGGAGACACTGAGAGGGGACCTCCCCAGTGTGTGTCAGGGTCTGCAGGGAGGGGGCAGAGCATGGACCGGGCTCTGCTCGGGGGGGCCCAACAATGGGACAAGAGGAATGGGCAGGAAACAATGCCCAGGAAGCTGCACCTGAACATGGGGAAGAACTTCTTCCTTGTGCAGTGACCCAGCACTGAACAGATTGACCAGAGAGGGTGTGGAGTCTCCCTCACTGGAGATATTAAAAAACCATCTGGACACAATCCTGTGCTGTGTGCTCTGGGATGACCCTGCTTGAGTAGGGAGGTAGGACCAGATGACCCACTGTGGTCCCTTCCAGCTATGATGTGATTCTGTGTTGGGAAATTTCTGATGTAAATCCTGATGTTCCCATTATCCAGCTGTGCCAGCTGCAGGGTTTGGCATCAGGGTCACACTGCACCATTTCCTTCACCCAGAGACCCCCCCAGCACCATGGGGCACAGCCGTGTCCCCCCAGCCTGTCCCTGGTGTTCATTCACAGGCACACCCAGTTTTAGCAGGACCTGCTCTCAGAGCCCTGGTGCCAGGGAACACTGCTGTGCCCTCGTTCTGTGGCTGCTCCCCAGGCTCTCCTTTCCCTTGCAGTTTGTGCTGAAGCACAGGGAGTTCGCTCATCTGCGGGAGGTGCCGGCGCTGCCCAACGCCCTGAACCCGCACAAGGAGGAGTCTCTGGTGCTGGTCAAGGCCATGATTGACCAGGTCATGGCCCTGCACGAGGGCCTGGAATGGTTCCACATCGGATGTGATGAGGTGGGACTTCTCTTGAGCCTGGAATGTTTTTCCTTTGAGGAGGATGGTAAGGGCTGAGACCCCGTATGGGCCATTCACTTAAGAGCTGGACTCGATGATCCTCATGGGCCCCTTCCAACTCAGAATATTCTGTGATTCTGTGACTCTGCATTTCAGTTTGGGTGGGATTTTGGGGACAGAAAACACAACTCAGGCCAGTGTAAAGTCTTTTTGACACTAAATAATTCCAGAAGCACAGGATGTCATTTCTATTGGTCTGAGTGCAATATCAAAGTATTGAAAGCAGCTTCTTAAATCTAACTCAGCACTTGGGTTTAGGTCAAATGAGTATTTAAAGTGAGATTAAAGTGAGATTATCCATTGGAGCTGTTCATTACAAATGATATGAGTTTTATGTAAGATATTGTCTCGTCATTCTGGCCAAGTTACTCAAAATAAGCCTTTTTGTGGTGGGAAATGGGGGGTTTTTTTGTCTTGGGATTTTTATAAAGCAAAATGCTATTTACGTAGAATAAATGTGTTGTGGGTAAAACCTGCTCTAAACCAACAAAGGGTTTAAATGCATATCCAGCTTAACAGGCCTGAATCCACTCTCTGCATGGACCAAGTATGGGGGGCTGCACTTGGACATGCCCCCAAGTTGCTTTTAGACTCATACAGATGATCTCCTTCCCTGAGACAGGAACCTCGTTTTATATAACTCAGGACCTGATGTATTGCCAGATTTAAAGGTAATAAATGTGGTGAGAGCTGCTCCTAAGAACAAACCTTCCAAAGGCAAATACAGCATTTAAATATTTTAGTTTCTATAGGAAAATTCCCTTATGATCACACGTAGTCATGGCCACAGTCTCCTGCAGACTGATAGAAATGCTTGCAGTGTCTTCAGCACTGAGAGGTGCTTTCGAATATGTCCCTCAGGGTGTCCCATCTAGGCAAAAGGTTTGGAATATTGTATGACTTAATGATACTGTGTCAAACTCATTTTCTTTTTCTGTATAAGCAGTCAGGATTCTTTGCCTGATGTTTCAGGTCTACTACCTCGGGGAAGGAGAGGAGTCAAAGCAGTGGCTGCAGCAGCCAGACAACACCCCAGAGAAGCTGTGCTTGGCCCACATAAAGGCAGTTGCCAGTTGTGTGGCCTCATCTTACCCCAGGGTGACTCCCATCGTGTGGGACGACATGCTCAGGGGGATGAGTGAGGAAACACTGGCAGGTGTGTGACCAGGGATGGGCTGAGGCATGTTTTGTGTCATACCAAAAGGTTTATACAGCTAGTTAAAACAGATCTGCTGGCACTGAAAATAATGAAAACAAGAAGAGTTGAGATATATATATATATATATATATATGTTTGACCAGAGAATAGAAACTCAGTCCTTGGCTGTCACAGACTTTCTGTGTGACTGTGGGCCAGTCTGAACACATACACTTAAACAAAATGCTCATCCTGCAGTGGTTGCCATCAATTCTACTTTCTCAACACATTCAAATAAAACAGCCTGTGGTCCAAGTCTAAATCTCTGTGCCTCTCACCACCTTCTAATGTTTGTTGTTGCTCTGTGCAGCACCTGGTCCCAGTGGTGCAAACACACAGAGAAGCTGCAGCCCTGTGAACACCTCTGTGATCAGGGTGCCCACCATGAGGACTCAGACACTGAATTGTGGGGTAGCTCCAAGACCTTGACATCATGAGTCTTGTCTGTTGAAAAATATGAAACCACTGCTAAAATTTGAGTAGTCTGAGCACAGATGGAGTTCCAGCATTTTCAGAGCTACCTTACACGTGCTACTGCACCAATAATCTGTACTTAGTTCTCACTTTTACCTGGCTGTTTTCCATTACTTAGGAGAGCTCTGTTCCTTCCAGACTCCGGGGTCCCACAGCTGGTGCAGCCCATGATCTGGGACTATGCAGCCGACCTGGATGTGGAGGGCAAAGGTTTGTGCTTCTCTGCTGAGCTGTGTAGAAGCAAAGAGCTGTTTAAGCAAAATAGCCAAAGCAAGACTGTGTCACTAAAACATACCTTAGTTGGACACCAAGCAATTCTATTTTTATTTAAATTCCTTTTTGTTGCTTTAATGGCATAAACACAGCTCATTTGATTTCACATAAGAGTTGCTATTACTAATTTTCTTTTACTATTTATGTTTCTCCTATGAAGGACTTGCATTGTCTGCTGCTTAATTCTTTTCAACACTGATGGGGCATTGAGAGGTTTTTCACAAGCACTGTTACATCAACTCACCTCACACTGAAACCAGTGGGAGCCAATAGCCCTGTATTGAGCAGCTCTGCAAAAGAAGCTTCAAGGCTTCAGACATCTGCAGAATTCAAAGGGAAACTCCAGTCAGGCATTTAACACGCATGAAAATGTTTCTTTGTTGGAAAAAGAATCAGCTGTCAGATGTTGGGCAGGCTTGTTACATGCCCAGGGTTCTTTTAGCACTGTAACAATCCAAGGGAATGCAATACAGTTCACTGGGCACATGAAAACAGGAGGGCAGCCACCAAAAAGGCTCCTCAGAGAAGGTGTCTGATGTCCCATCCTTAGGACCTCATCAACCTGTTGGAACTGGACCTTGGTTCCTCCTCAGCATTTCAGCCAGGGCTGAAAATGGAGAAGGCTCATGCTGTGAGTGTCCCTCTGTGTCTCATTGCAGTGCAGCTCGTAGAGAAGTATCAGAGATGTGGCTTCTCCAAGGTGTGGTTTGCAAGTGCCTTTAAAGGAGCCACAGGAGTGAATCAGTCCCTCACACTTATTGGGCACCACCTGAAGAACCACCTGGAGTGGCTGGAAGTGGCCAGCAGGACCCCCCCTGATGTCCTTGAAGGTATCGCCCTGACTGGCTGGCAGAGGTGAGGAACAGCCTTTGAAATGGTTCCAGGGATAACACGGAGGCAAACTTCCACCCCAGAACTCCCTAAGAGGCACAGGGAGGCTGGGGAGCTGGAAGGGAACTCTGCAACCCTGCAATCCTTCCTGCCAGTCACTGCTGAGCCTCAGAGATCCACTCAGGTGGTACAGCACTTAACCAGCAGGAGCAGTTGTTTTGGAGACACCACCACCAGCAGATTGGGTTTGAAAGCTTGAATGTACTTTGTGCCACCTAAACTGCTTATTGAGAACACAGTTCATGCATGGTGAATGCATCTGAATGTCTGATGTGAACTCAAAACAGAATGAAGTTGCATAAGAGAGAAGAACTTGTTCATATAAAGAAGGACTAAAAGGTTTTTATGCAAGTCAGGAGGTCTAAGGGAATACCAGAGAGCTGAATTCCAATTTCTCTCTCTGATTTGCCTTGAGAAAGTAATTTCATTTTTATCTGTTCTTATTAGTAAGACAGAAATACTTTGTTTTTCAGGGATAGAAGGTCCCTTCTCTGAGACAGAAACTGATGTTTCTAAAGCTCTTTAATTTTAATGATTGAAATATTAAAACTTCCCATTTATTTAGTATGTTCTGCCAGTAAACTGTCTAATTAATGGATTTTTTTTTACCTAGGTATGATCACTTCTCTGTTTTGTGTGAGCTTCTCCCAGTGGCAATTCCATCCCTGGCTGTGTGTCTGCAGGCACTAAAGAATGGTACAATGACAACTTTATTCTCTCTCAGCTAATGCCTTGCACAAGAGGGAACTGCCCTTGCCCTAAGGTTGGCACAGGCTTATTATATTTTGAGGTGGTTTGACTATCTGCTCGTGGTCTGAATTATGAACAGTAAATTACAATTTGCAGTATGGCAGGAGAGAAGCCTCTTGGCCTAAGTATTTAAAAATAGCCATTGGATACTCATCATTTATTATGTTCTAACCCACAAATGATGAAAAACTTCATGTTTATACTAAAAAATAAATTGAAGAAGCTGAATTGCTTTTTAAACTGATTTGAAACAATACTGACATATAAATTAGATTCATTTAGTTTAGATTTAGATCTTACTTAAGTATAAAAGTTGCATTGACTAATCAATTTTCTTAAAATGGATGTAGGAAGGACACTGCCAGGTAAAATACTTCCTGTAGTTCTGGTTTCTTTACAGGCAGTTGTCAACAGAAAGGGGTTTTTTTTTTGTCTTGCTGCATTTCTTATTTTCAAAATAAAGCCCCACAGGTTACTGATTTTTAACTCAGGCACTACAAATATTCAGCATCCTGAATGGGAGGCTCAGAGCTGGGAAGTGCTTTACCAGAAAACTCTGTGAAAGACCATGTGCTCCACTTCCCACCCACAAGTGTTTTTTCCTTCTTCTATTCTCATTGTACCTTTTACAAAATCTCCATCCAGGAAGAACTGCTGAGCCAGTGCAGAGTACTCCAGAAAAACCCTCTTGTATGACTATTTTGGTTCCTTAGGCTCCTTTTGCTTATTGCCACTGTCTTCTGCCAGGTGGCTACTCTGAAAAGGTTAAAGAAAATGTGGAAAAGCTCCTGGGAATGCCTAACCTGGAGATTGATACTTACATGAGGTAAAATCCCAGCTGGAGAATTCGGGTGCTTCTCGTTGCGTGGTAAGTTCAGAAACTAATGGATCCTCTTTGTCCAGCACAAGTCTGGGCACCTTTCCTGGGAGCAACATCCTCACCCTTGTGACACAAGTGAGCTTCTACCTCAAGTCATCAGTGGATGAACTTCTGGAAAGGAACAGGTAATGAGGTTTATGTTGATTCCCTGCTGGCTGCCTCAGTGTTGGAGCTGCATCACCTCCAAGTGGGGCACAATTCCAGCAAAGTGATTTAAACATCCAGCTCTGCACTTCAGGCATCATTGGCACCTCAGCAGAACATAATATTTAGCTGAAAATTTAAAATATTTCAGCAGAATTCCTAAATACTATGTGCTGCCTTATTTCAAGCATCTGGTTCTTTCCTGAGTTACATTTTACTGCTATTTAAAGTTAAAACGAAATTTTTGAATGGTGGAGTTACAAAAAAAGGAGCTCGAAATGAAACTTAAACTGCAGCAGATGATCAGTTTTTATCATCTGCCAAGAACAGTCTTTTACAAGCTAGTTCCAAAGATATACAGACTTAAATAAACTTACTCCTTAAGCATTATCTCTGCTAAAGTCTATAGTCTTATTACCTCTCTGTCATCCTACAAACACAGATGTCACTGCTCTTTTCAAACTCTGCTCCTATTAACATCCATTTTCAGGTATGTCACAGGCTGGTTCAGCCCCTACCACAGGAAAAGGAAGATTATTCATCCTATAATAATGCACCTCTTCCAGCCAGATGCAGTCAGGTAACACCTCTTGTTTTGCATCACATGGGAAATAGTCTGTCATATTTTGGGCACTCAATTACAAGTTTTGAATCCTTGCCTCCTTCTGTAATTATCTCAGAGGCATCAGTGGGAATCAAACAATATCAAGTATTCATAATATGGGTTTAAACAGAAAATGTTGGGGTTGGATTTAGATGATCAAAGTTCCCTTCCAACTCAAACCATTCTATGATTCTAGTTTTATGTTTGCCTGCCTTCTGTTGAATAAGTTCTTTGAATACAAGTACAAAACTGGTCTCCAAAAACCTCTCCCTTTTCTACTCCTGTGCACCTCACTGCACTTGTTGGCCTTGGTGTAGGATTTCACCATGGACCAGCTTCCAGACAGGGATTGGAATAAATCCAGACCCTTTTCCCAGCTCCCTGTCACCATGTGCTGTTCTGAACTTGTCCTACACATTTTGCCAGTTCATGCTGATTTTTTTTTTTTGCTGTGATAAGGTGAATAAAGAGCATCTACTCTTTCTGATAAAACCCAGAATTAAATTCCCAACAAGTCTCAGAGCAGGTTTCAGTTACACTTAAAATGTGTATAGTGGTTTTCTGAGCTCACATCTCAGTACTTTAAAAGTCATTGCATGAGAAAAGTGCCAGGATTATTGGTACTTAAACAGAAACAGCATCAACCTTTTGCCATCTGAACAAAATCAAGTCCTTTGGGCTCTTGTAATAGATGCTTCTTTTCCTGTTAAGTCATTTTAAGGACAGCACTCCCTTCCTAAGGCCAGTAAGCCAGCCCTCCCCTGAGGCAGAGCTCACCTGCAAATGTCATTGTTCCTCCCTTCTCCTTTCTGCTCAGTCTCCTCTCCAAGTGGAATGCTGTGGTGCAAGACCTCCAAGCAGCCATGGAGCAAGTTTTCCACCAGTGTGCTATAGAGGAGTGGATGGAGGAGAACGTCCACCCCAGCCTACAGAAGCTGCAGCAAGTGGTGGATGATTTAGATGAAGCAATAAAAGCACAAAATTAGGGGCACTTCAATTAGTCTGTCTCATTCCATGGGAAAACATGGCTAGTGGAAATCAGCCACTAGTCATTGAGCTGGAGTTTGTCATCTGGAGAGCTGAACTGTGATTAAACAACAGTGACCTGAGGGCAAGAAGGAATTTACTGGTGTAATAGACTTCAAGTCTATTTTAATCTTCCTGTCTTAACACACACTGAGCCTTAATTCACCTGCCCTGTAAGTCAGGTTTGCTGCCCTTGCATAACAGAATGCAGGAGTCACAACTCTGGAGAAAAACCCAGTTTCTTCCACATTCAGTATTTGTAGCAATAGAGTTTCTTACTTAACAATACCTGGAAAAGTTCTACAAGTTCTACTCCAGTCAGTGCCCAACATGTCCACCCTTTGCAATTTTTATAAAAAGAAATATTTAGGATACTTACACCATGCTTTAGGTCCCTTTGTTCTGTCCTGCCACTCCTCCACGTGTCAGCTGTGCTGTGTCCTGCCATTCCATCACCAGTCCTTCCACAGCAGGGAGCAGTTCCAGATTTGGGGTTGGATTTTTTCAGTCTTTGAAAGACATAAAAGCATGGGGCTTAAATCCTGCTTTGATTTTAGCCTGAGGTCAGGGATTAACATCCAGCCTTTTGCAGAGGTCTGAGCAAGGCCCTGTCAGGTGCTGACAGGTCACAGCAGAGGGGACAGGTGCCATCCCAGGCCAGAGCCAGAGGGAGCTCCAGGAATAGTGACCCTTGGACTTGGAGGGAAAACTGCCAAACAAACACTGGGCTGCTTCACTGGCTGCCAAAGCATCAGTTAACCTCAGCTCAGTCTCATTCCCACAGAAAAGCACCATCCCACTCTCTAAGGCACCTGTTGAGCTCTGTAAAACCTGAAACTGCAGGTTTGTCCCAGTTTGAGGCATGACTTGAAGTTAGTAAATATGAGGGGAAAATGCTGGTTTATTCTGCTTTAATATCAAACTTTTCATATTGTGTGGCAATATATTTTGTGGATGTAACTGGAGCAATAACATAAACACCACAGTGGAAATAATTCACAAGTCTGGTAGTTAAATACATCACCATGAATATTCAAAATATTTACTTGTGCTTCACTTATTCCTTTAATTTTTTTTTTTAGAAGCACAGGTATTGAAATTTTCTTGGAACAATCTCTAGATTCAGAAAGTACAAGTACAGCATAAGACAAACTTTAACTTTCTCAATGAGAGCCTCAGTGATTAGGTCCACGTGCAGATTTTATTCTAAAAACAAGCAATTGCTATGCAGACCTTAATTACAAAAGTTACATGCCTTGAACTAAACAAGATCTTAACTTATTTTCCTTGAATAAATCCTTTGATACTCAAAATGTCTGTGGAAATGTGCTTCTTTTTTGTGTGTGTGGCATGTTGGTTTGGTTTAAAGGAGGGAAGATGGAAATATATTCACCAGGGGAGAGTTGGATCCCCATTAACTCCTCCAGCAGGTCCGTGTCAAGTAGTAATTTAGACAGCCATTAATATTTTAGTAATTTTAATTAAAAACAATACAAAATACTACAGTGATGCAAAACAAGTTATCAAAGTTGATTTTATCAATGGACTTTTTTTTTTAAAAAAAGACAGTATAACAAGGCCTTGCTGCAATTCTACTCGCAATTTTACAGTAAAAAAAAAGGCAATTTCTAAACAGTTTCAAGAAGGATTTTTGCCTCTCAGCAATCTATGACAGTGTCAGGACTAGCACTCTTTATTTACTATTAAGCCAGCTGAGTTTTTGGTATCTGTAACTTCATAAATACAGCTCAAGAGTCAGATATCAACTAGACAGTTTAAATACTTAGATTTTCTTGCACAATTGACGCTACTTCACTGTGAAATATCCCAGTATTGGATTATACCTTACCTAAAGCAGTGTTCTCCTCTGTACAGCTTGCACTCCATGCACTCTGGCTTTTGTCACTACAGCACAGTTGTGGTAAAGGACATGACAGAAAGGGTTGGGTTTATGGGGCAGGGTGCTAGGTCTAACCTAAGCTCTGGTTTTAAATAATTTCTAAGTCTTATAAAGTACAGCTGTCCAGGCACAAGTCAGTAGATGGCCTGATATGCAAAAATGACAACTACATCTCCTGTAATACTGTCCCAGGAGTACCTAATTTCCTAACAAAACTAGTCTTTCACATCATTCTTTGAGTCCAAGCCACTTCACACCAGGCCCACCTAAGGCTACATTTACTGGGCCTTTCAAACTGCTGGGCCCAGGAGGAGTGAGGAAAACCATCCAAAAAAGCCTCTGGCAAAATGGTAAGAAGTGGCAAAAGAGGAGGATGAGACAGGACTAGTCCAAAGAGGGAAGAACAGCACCTGTCCTGAGTTAGCACCTGCTGTCCTCAACAGTCCAAGCTGCACCACATCACTGAGGATGCACAGACACTGCAGAACCAAACCCATGTTTAAGGCCATTTGCAAGTTAAATTTACACACACACAGTTACTGCAAAACATGATAACATGGTGATGTCTTCCAGCTACAAAAGAGAAAGTTTTTGAGGACAGGAAGCAAACGTGGACCAAGAGAAACAAGAAGCTCCCAAGTGTATCAGACAGCAGTGCCCAAATACACCAGGCAGAACCCACAGTAAGAGACAATTCCCTCAGTGCTTCCCTTTAGCTCAGACTATGGAATTCAGGTTCCCATTGGAGCTGTACTTGTTTGTACAGTGGCAGTTGCCCAATGCCAAATGGAAATGGCACTAGAGGGAATGGCTCAGCTGCTCTGAGAGGCTGAGGAGTCAAAACACTCCTCTCAGACACACAGTGCATGGCAGCTCCATCCCTCTCCTGCCACCACTGAGGGCTGAGGGGGACACCACACAGCACCTTCAAAGAGGTGATCACTGGACATCAACCCAAAAGGCAACTTACTCCACAGGATGTACTTTAAGCCATGTTGTACCTTATTATAGGTCATTCCCCTTTCTGAGGATTCTCAGTTTTCCTTACATTGTTTCAGTGTTTGTGTGAGACATTGCATAGTCCATAAGGACATCCATGACTGACACCAGGAATGCACAGCAAGCTGGATGCACAAGAGCTCAGCAGAAGCAGGACACAGGATGCAGGGCAGGGTCACACCAGCAGACGTACCTTTCAAAAGCTGATTATTAACTGGAAAACTACAGCATGGTTTACATCTTCCATGGAATGTCAGCTCTCATGGGAATACAAAAGAAACCCAGTATAGCTATGACTGAATGCAGGTAGTTTTTCCTGTTTTATCCATGGTCCACTCCATGGGCTCAGAATGTAAGTGCAGTGCACACCACAAATGGCCTCTGCATGTCCTTGACACAGAGCAGCAGTTACCACAGGCTGTGCCTACATTGTACCATTAAATACTCTAGGGTTTTTCAGTATTTCTTACTGGAAGTCCTGAGAACACTCATCATTCTCACTTTACAGTGTGGGGAAAAAAAGAGTTCTCCAAATCCCCGATGTCATTCTCCTCTCTCTAAAACCAGCACCACTTGGGGTATAGACCACAATGGATTTAAATGAGGAACTCTCCAAGGTGTTACACCCTGCAACATTTAAACAGGTTTGATAACTATGCTCAGCCTACAGCTGTGCTTCAGAATAAAGGCCAAATTCAGCTAATTGCCTGATTTTCCCCACATTCATACACAGCACCTTCCCAGCTGCAGTGATGTGGGGTAGGGACTGAAAACCACATGATTATGCCACCGACTCAGAGGACTTTACAAACATGTACTGGCAGAGGTCTGCCTTGGTACCTGATGTGATTACAAGGGTCTTTTCCTATTTAAAGGAAACATCTCCCTGTTGCAGGGAGATTACCTTCACACTGCCAGCACTGAGCCTTTGCCTCCCAGCCACATCCCAGGGCTGAGCAGCTGGAAGGCAAATCCTGGTACGACCTGGGTGTGGTCAGAGCAGCAGGTGCTCAGCTCCAGGTCTGTGGAACACACAACAGGACAGGGCTTCTGCTGAAAGCTTTTCAGAGCCTTGTCTCTGTAGAGGTAGAGCAACTTGAAACACAAACACAGGCTCTGAAGTCCTAAAGGAACTGCTGCCAGAAGACATTTGCTGCTGGCCAACCAAAAGCAGACAACAGTTACCTTGTACCCTGTTACATTTCCTAGAAGTTACTGTGTAAGTATTTTCTAATTCAGGTCTTAAGACCATAAGATTCCTAAATAAAACCTAGGGAACTTCAGTACAAGCATATTTGAAGGAGCTTTCAGTTCTTTACAATTTTGTTCTTGTACTGATGTATTGATGTAGACACGATGGAGTTTTACTTCTAGACAGAATATGTTGACTTANGTGGTCTGAATTATGAACAGTAAATTACAATTTGCAGTATGGCAGGAGAGAAGCCTCTTGGCCTAAGTATTTAAAAATAGCCATTGGATACTCATCATTTATTATGTTCTAACCCACAAATGATGAAAAACTTCATGTTTATACTAAAAAATAAATTGAAGAAGCTGAATTGCTTTTTAAACTGATTTGAAACAATACTGACATATAAATTAGATTCATTTAGTTTAGATTTAGATCTTACTTAAGTATAAAAGTTGCATTGACTAATCAATTTTCTTAAAATGGATGTAGGAAGGACACTGCCTGGTAAAATACTTCCTGTAGTTCTGGTTTCTTTACAGGCAGTTGTCAACAGAAAGGGGTTTTTTTTTTGTCTTGCTGCATTTCTTATTTTCAAAATAAAGCCCCACAGGTTACTGATTTTTAACTCAGGCACTACAAATATTCAGCATCCTGAATGGGAGGCTCAGAGCTGGGAAGTGCTTTACCAGAAAACTCTGTGAAAGACCATGTGCTCCACTTCCCACCCACAAGTGTTTTTTCCTTCTTCTATTCTCATTTTACCTTTTACAAAATCTCCATCCAGGAAGAACTGCTGAGCCAGTGCAGAGTACTCCAGAAAAACCCTCTTGTACGACCATTCTGGTTCCTTAGGCTCCTTTTGCTTATTGCCACTGTCTTCTGCCAGGTGGCTACTCTGAAAAGGTTAAAGAAAATGTGGAAAAGCTCCTGGGAATGCCTAACCTGGAGATTGATACTTACATGAGGTAAAATCCCAGCTGGAGAATTCGGGTGCTTCTCGTTGCGTGGTAAGTTCAGAA